TAGATTTACGTACCAAAAATAATTTTTGTATGGTGACATGGCGTGTCCGCCAGCTCACACTCGTTTTCGCCACGAAAATACATGGCAATTAATTCCAAATTGTGGTAAGATTTGAGACTTTAAAATTATTAAAGAAGAGTTAAAGCTATTCCTTTGTGGAAATTTGTGTTCAATACTTTTGTAACCTTTTTAAGAAACATTATTTGGAACTCCACTAGGTATTTTGAAACAAGTTGCCGCAGCTGTTTAGATTTATTGCCAAAAAATCCAGAGAACTTTATAAAGATGTCATAAGAAATCAGAGGAAGCACGTGACACGTTTTATTAATAAAGTTTCCAAATTCAATTTTACGACAATCATCTTCCTCAGGGAAGTAAAATATTTTTTTTAAATAGCAATAGTAAACTTTTTTGCTTAGACACTTCTTTCCGCCTTAAAATGGGTAGAATAAAGAAATTTGGGCAACAAGTTTTATGACAATCGTTTTACAAAGAAAACGAGTGAAAATAAAGTTGATGTTTCCACGGAAACAATTGTAATCACCGTTGTAAACTCATCGTGCACGATTCACGCCGCTAACCTCAGGAAAAAAAGTTATTTCATTTAGCAGAAAAAAGTTAGTTTTTCTACTAGTAGACATAGTGGTTACATGATTATTAATATTAGTGTAGTGTCTAAGTTCTTATAATATTTTGTTTAGTGTAAATGTCTATGTACCAGAAATGGGCTACTATCTGTGGTGAGTGGTATGCATTGCAAAAACTTTAACACGCTTTTTCTCATATTCAACTGCAGTTTTCTCAAAAAGTATATATCCTTCATACATAAAACGTAGGTAGACTAATTAAATGTCTTTCTTGCTTATAAACTATAAATTAAAGTGGCATGTTTAAACATTTTCAAAATCATGGTATTTTACACAGGTAAAATTTTTAACAAAATCTTTAATGTTATTCACATTTTTTGTTCATTATCTGCGCTTAACAGAGTAGACAAATAGTTTGGATAATCATAAATTGTATACCTAATTACACTAAAATACAAGAACATTGTAAAACTAATAACATAATCTGAGTAAAATGCACTAGAATGAAGTACTGACTTCACTTCCCTCTCCACATGTGTAAATAAAATAATTATTCATGAAAAACCATAGTACATGCAACTTTGGTTATTAAGCATGTGTCCTAAGAAAAAGCTTACAATTGCTGGAAAAAAGCCCATTTGTATTTTTTCTTCAATTCAGAGATATAAAGCTTTATATTACAGGAACATTTAAAGCTAAAACCAAGCTAAAATGTACCATCTGTCCAAATGGAATAAATTATTACTTTTGACTTTCAGAAAATTTTACCATTACTGTTAAACAAAATGTTACTATCGCAAGAAAAATTGCTTAAAATTGGGTTTGAAAACTTGAAAAAGTAATGGCGCTTCAACAGCATATACGTTCTCGCAAAGTTTCTAAATTTGCAATTTTTGAAAATTCAGGTCATTGAAAATGAAACCCACGCCATTCTTTTAGGAGTGGGTAAGCTTTAAAAAAGCATTTGGAGCAGTTTTTTCAATTTTTTTTTGAAAATAGCGTAAATTTCAGAAAAATTACACGACCTTTTTGAGGTATATTGTAAGTTATTGTACATGATCTTTTTTGAAGATCTGCTTTTTTTGTGCAGATAATGAACAAAAAATGTGAATAAAATTAAAGATTTTGTTAAAAATTTTACCTGTGTAAAATACCATGATTTTGAAAATGTTTAAACATGCCACTTTAATTTATAGTTTATAAGCAAGAAAGACATTTAATTAGTCTACTTACGTTTTATGTATGAAGGATATATACTTTTTGAGAAAACTGCAGTTGAATATGAGAAAAAGCGTGTTAAAGTTTTTGCAATGCATACCACTCACCACAGACAACAAACGTTGTCTAAGATAAAATTCTAAATTCAATTGTGTAATTTGGAAATAATTTTTGCAATATTCGAAAAAAAGAAACAAAAGCAGGGCAGTTCGTCGGAAATGACTCTAGCACCATATTTTTTACCGTCCCTTGATACAAATGAGAAGGAAAATTTTACCAAAAAAATATTTAATACATTTTTAAAATTGCCTATATTTCGCGCAAGCTAATATTTTCGAAAAATTAAACATGGCCTTATTTCAAGATGTGTCTTTTGAAAAATATTTCATTAAGGAAAAATACCTATCTTCAATATTGTAGTTGTAGAAAATCACCCCCAAAACTGCCCTTTTACACTTTTCAAAAATCACGGATTTCAAAGACTATGAGATCATTCTCTTAAGCGTCGTTTTCGCTAATAGAATACCAAGTTTAATCAAATAATTTGGTGCTATTTTTGAGAAAATTTTGAAAATGTTTTTGTGACTTAATGTAAAGTACCCTCAAAAATCAAAATATCCGTTTGAAACTCCCCAAGTCTCAAGGCCATTCAGATCGATCGGAGAATATCAATTTTGGAGAAAATCGGCTGAACGATTTAGGCGCCAGCAAGGCGAAATATGTAAGTGGACTACTGTGGCGCAACGTATTTTACTCGTTTTGCGCACTTCCAGTTTCCGTCACGAACCACAACACGGGTTCTTTGTTTGAAAAGTCAGTCCAGTTGTAGACCGCCATTGCATGGAGAGCAGCAAGTGTTGAGAAACATTTAGAAAGTGGCATAGTGACAATTCTCAACAAAAAAAGTAAAACGATGACGGTGAATTGCAATATAAAAAAATGCCTCGTACGTTTTAAGAACTAGTAACAATTTGGTTGTTTTGGTAACTGGCTGCAATTAAAATTCCCAATATTCGCCAATATTATGACACGAACAGGTACCTGAAGCTCATTGGCTGAAGTCGCTTATGATGCGCAACAGCCTCAGACCCCGGGTGCTCACCAGATGCCATCAACAGATTTTTCGGTATCAAGGACCCACAAAACATGGGTTACCACGTGCTACACCTATACATAGTAACTGGATTTATGTGCTGTTTTCTATACATAGTAACTGGATTTATCCACTTTTTCGTTAGCAGGGCTCGGCAATAAGAATTTTTCTGCCGAATATTCGCAGTTTTCTGGCGCACGATGACATAATTTTCTCTTCATAAGCGCGAAAAAGAAATGCACGTCGTCGACTTAATGGCTGCAGTATTCCATGCCGAACGTTTGAGTGTTCATGAAAATAGTCATCGGCAGGTCTGTAATCAATACACAAATATTTATATTTTACTTTCTTGGGATCACTTTCTAGACGGTTTCAAATATAAAAGAAGCGTGCGATATTTCATTCGGATTCTGGAAGTATGACTCGCTCCGTCAGCATGGAAGGTCATTTTGAGCGACAGGTACTTTCGCATGTTTTCATCAATAACCTTAAGAATATGATGGGGAAATGCACCTTTTTAATAAGCTACTTTTGAGACAAATCCAAAGACTCGACAATTTTCAAGCAGATGCCAATTTCCAATCACAGCTAAAATGATAATTTACTTATGATACTTCGAAAATACTTTTTCCATGCCTAGTTCCCATTATGATATTGTTGAAAATGAAAAAGCAGACAGAGGCCATAAATTAACAGCATATTCTGAATAAAGGAAGCTGGGGATAAAGAATCTTGTGGACTAACAGAAAAATGTATATTCCAATGAAGGGATCAAAGGATGCACTAAAATTCTCATATTTTTTTCGTATATAAAATTTAATCTGTTCACAAATATATGAAATGACAAGCATCAGTTCAACAAATTCTGCACATTGCTCTCCTAATTTTATTATTTTACAACAATTGGTCATTTAAAGAGTACCAATCTAACATTGAAGTACTCTTAACATTTTGGTAACTGCTATTTACATGTCAAAATCCGTTTCTTTCGAACATTTGATGCGTAGTTCCCTCTTCATAACGCTTTTAAAACTAAAGAAATTTGCCTTATTATACCATATTTACACGTTTGTAACGTCGATCACTCACAAACCACCGTATTTATCGCGAGTACATTATCACTATGACTCACGCGTTCAGAGTTACTTCAGGAAAGTATCGAACGCCAATCTTAAAGATGAACGAGCGAGCGTCAAACTTTCTTCCGCATACGGCGGTCAGTGGAGGGGGATCGAGGGATACTCCGAGAGAGGCTGCAAAGAGCACACGTGGTGACAAAACGGTTGATCCTGAGGCTCTAAGCAGATTTAATTTTGTTGTGCGTGCGCATGTGATACGCAAGGCCGCTCTGCTGGTGGAAGCGAGCCCCGCACAACTCGCAGGAGAACGGACGCTCCCCCGTGTGAACGCGCGAGTGAGTAACTAGCGTCGTTTTCTGTCGGAAAGTCTTGCCGCAAACGTCACAACTATGCGGACGCTCTCCCGTGTGAATTTTCCGGTGTGTTTTCAGGCTTGTCTGGAATCCGAACGCCTTTCCGCACACGTCACACTTAAACGGCCGCTCGCCCGTGTGCACGGGCATGTGTTGAGCGAGCCTGTTTTTCTGTAGGAATGTCTTCCCGCACGCGTCGCAGCGAAACGGCCACTCACCGGTGTGCCTGATCTTGTGTATTCTAAGATTATGCGCTCTGCGGAAAGCAATCCCGCAAATGTCGCAACGATGCGGCCGCTCTCCCGTATGTAGGTTCTTGTGTTGAATTAATTCCTGTTTCTGCAAGAACGCCTTCCCGCACACGTCGCAGCGATGCGGGCGCTTTCCCGTGTGTAAGGGCAGGTGTAAATTTAGGTTTGATTTCTGGCGGAACGTCTTCCCGCAAAAGTCACATTTATACGGCCGCTCTCCCGTGTGTATGGTGGAGTGACTCGCGAGTTGGCTCTGCCTAATGAAAGTAGCACCACACACGTCGCAGAGGAACGGGCGTTCGCCTGTGTGCGTGCGATTGTGAATATCGAGTGCGCATTGCGAAATGAAAGAACCTCCGCAAACTTTGCAGATGATATTTTTCTTTCGCTTGCGCTTGTGACCGGCGGGGCTACTGGACGTCGTAGGCGCCACGGCGTCCTGGACTGGCTCCTCGTGCAGCTGCAGCATCGTGCTCTGCTGTGACCCACCACTCTGCAGCCGCACTGCACTCCGCCGCTGGGTTGCCTGAAGTCGCACCGGCGGGACTCTGCCTGCTCCTGAACATACATGCAATATTTTTTAGCGTATTCTTACTTCACTATCTCGGTACTTATTAGGGACCCTTTGCGACACGTAAGACAAGTAATCCGGCCTTCAAGAATCCTAGTGCCATTAGCTAGCCAGTCCCTTATTCCAATATAAAAGACGCAAACTTGCTTAGGGCGAGGGGCAGGAGCGCACATTAAGATACGATAGAGCGCTCTGCTCCGCGCCTCGGTTTGGAGTAACTTACACGCACTCGGCAGGAGAATATTCACCACGCGTTTAAGTCGGGAATATTTTCTCACTTTCCTCTTACCTTACATTTTCCCGACCTATTTCCATTTAAAATTATGGTACTTAAACGGGTTATATTTTTATTGTTTAACTGCTTATAAGCAATAATGTTTATCGGATGTAAAGAAGAAAATAAAAAAGTACTATTTTTACTCGTTTTCCATTTATTTACCAGATTATTCATAAATCTTCGAAGTGACGGTACAGGACAGGATCTATAGTGTTTATTCCTGGGACGCATGTCTCGAATGAGACTCTTCGTCCATTTTCCTCTTCTTTCGGTGGATACGTAATATATTAGTATTAAGTAGATTGAAATACTAGCTGAGGAGGCTCAAGACATTAACTGACGTCACTGCGATGCCTGACTAAGAGGCCCTTGGATTTAAGTCCCGATGGTGGAAGGCGAGATACGTAGGTCGAATTCAGCCGCTGTCTGGAGGGGAATTCTAGCGGTCGGCCCGATCAACAGGCAAGGTCTGGAGTTGTACCCTAACAAAAGGCCCAACGACCAATCTACCCTTTTCCTTCCATACACACTCTACCACACGTGTCGGGACAAGCTGTAAGTTCCAGACTGGGGTGGTGCCCCGCTGGTGGGAGGTACTGGGGAAATTCTGTATGTATCACCATTCAGCAGCGGCAAGGGCAAATTAACTATCACAATCAAGAAACAAATTCCTGCTTACTAGAAATATCTGGTTAATTTTGTCTTATACAAAATTATGTCCCTCAGAAAATATGGCGGCTGTACTTTCAAAAACCTTCAAATATGGCGGGCACATTTCCACTCTACAGATTCCTATCTCGTTGTCTAAAACTGACGGATGGAAGCATTTTTGGAGAGAATTTAATATAGTGGAGAGTGAAAGCATATCTTTGGGTGTTTAAAGAATGATTGTTCGGCAAGAATATAATTTATAGTAAGCCGGCAGTATAATTAAATTAAAACAGTATTGGTTAATGGGTATTTGGAGGAATTTAATGTGTGAAAATGCTTGTTTACAAGGTTGTTATTTTCGAATATAGAAAAAATTTTGTCAAGCCGGGATCACCTGTGATCTCTGATATTTTTTGGTATTATAACTGCCTAAGCGGTTAATGGCTCCTTTTCACCAGCCACTATTTATCAAGGATACTAAAACATGTACTCGAATTCAATTAAAATTATTTAATTAAGCGGTTAACTTTAATTATTTTTAAACGTCGATTGATGCAGCAAGATAAATTTCTAACTTTTCTTTATAAATATGAGAGGAAACAAAATATGAAAAAGAGTAAGTTTTATCAAAAGTAAGTCAATTGATTGAAAGTATTGATATAATATACAAAATTTCACAAAAATATACATGGAAAATAGATTTTATTTTTTGTGCAATTAGTTTATTTTCAGTTATAGAGTGAAAGAAGTTTGGGGGCGGGAACTCCAATAGGAATAAAATTATTTTTTTTTGTCAGAACGTGTTTTAGTGAGTTTGGAAGACCAGATATTTCCAGAGTGAAGCAAGGCAGAGAGACACAGGGTAGGGCATAAAGGAGATACAACAGAATAGATAGATGTAGGCTTAGCCATAGGATGGGAATAGATGGAATACCCCTTTATGATTAATAAAAAATAATAAAAAAATTTTTAAAAAAATGATAAATATCCCAGCAATGTAGGATTTTTCAGCTAGTTAATGAAATAAAATGAATTAAAAGAAGGTGATGTTAAAAACACTTTTTTTTTTACTTACCTTTATGTTAAGTACTAATACATCTTTAATAACACAAGATGCTCCTTTGTTTGCCCCCTGCCAGATTGGGCTTTATGTCAAAGAATTATTACACAAATGTGAACAGAGATTGTAAATGGATAGCTAGCATGAGAAGAACATCTGACAGTAACTCTGAATGGGCAACAAAAGAACTTGCTCAAGTTCCATGGTGAAGACAGACTTAACAGCATCCCAATTTAAATGAATCTATCTTCATCTCTGATCTGCTTTTATCTGCTTTCAAATGATGAAGTTTCAATTTTTCTCGCAAAGATGTTTTATGTTTACCCACAGCTTCTGTAATTTCAGCTGAATAATGAGCACCAATAAAACAAGTATCAGATCTTGGAGTGTGAAAACAAATTTTTGATAATTTCCTTTCAAAAATATTGCAATAAAAACAATATGTGATGTCTGATTCTGGGTACTGAACTTTAAAAGTTTATAAAATCTACTAGTAAAATTTAAACCAGGGCTACGATTTTCCCTGTCATATTTCTTTCTATCCTATTGACTGCTCTCACACAGTAAGGAATGGATGCTGCCAGAAACGAAGAGTTTAATCTTTAGGAGTGTACATCCTATATTACTTTGTTTCCTCTCTTCTCAATAAACATGGGATTACCTTTTTTTAGGGCTTCAAAGCCTTGCAATCTCTCAGATGTTAGAGAAAATTTCACAGAAAGTTTTCCTGCATACTTGGACGAGTTTGCTGACGCCATTAGGCATTGTATAAATGGCAGTTGTTTGAAGCCTACTTTGAGATGAATCATTGTACGTACCATGCTTCTGCCTACTAACAGGTTTTACTGGTATTAGTCCTAGTTAATAAATTCTGTTGCTTACCATGATCTACTTTATATAGTATGTAATTACATGTATGTAGAGGAAATAACCTAATTTCCATTATTTTTAACTGAAACTAGTGGTGTTAGAGAAAGGTACAAACGTTCTCACATTAGTTAGCTTTCTATAATTTTTAGCCTAAGCTAGCTTTCCAGTTTTGCCCCACCCTCTATCATGCTGCTACCTATGGGCACAAAAACAAATGGCAGATTTTCTCAATTTTTCAGTCATCTCATAATAGAACTGAAATATGTCTTTAAGAATATTGCAGAAGAGTAAAACAGTTCTATAAGCAAATTTTCTTTGAAAAACCATTGGAAAAATACATGAGACAGTGTTATTTGAACATTTCTGAAAATGTGCGATTTTTACTTTTAATAAAAAAAGGGAGAAATTTTGAGAAAATTATGAAAATATTGTTGGGCTTCACATTCAGTAACTTCCAAAATAAAAATATGAATTTCAAGACCTCAAGTATAATTAAATCGGTTCTTATTTTAATGCCATGCACTGGTTAGTGAGTTGGCTAGTCTCCAGGAGCCTAGCGCATTCTAGTGTGACTTATCCTAGTGAAATCAATTGAGGAGTATAAATTGTGGAGAAAATTGACTGAACAGTTCATGCATTAGCTTTGACCACAGATGGACCACAAAACATGTATTCTGCCTACAGGTCTGGGAGGAAGTACACTTTATACAGGAACAAGATTTATCCGCTTTTCCGTAATCAGGATTCGGCGATAAGCATTTTTATGTCAATAAATCGCTGTTTCTTACAAAGTAAAATCAAAAATGTCAAAACTTTGTGCTCTACATTAGATTTCTTTTGCTTTAAAATGTTATTTCAAAAAGTTATAAAAATGTAACTTATCATCTTTATTTCTCCGACCCTTTAATTTTTCCATATTTAGAGAGAATTTTTTGTGATGTCTAGCACTACAAACCTTATTAGTTAACTTACCTGAGATCTTGAACACTTGTCCATTAACAGACACAGTCCCACCACTAATGAAGTTACTTGACAAGGTTTCATTACTTTTAACCTGCAACTGATTTCTTGCTCCCGAAATCCCAGCATACAAACAGGGTTGAACTTTAAGATACAGGAACCCTAGGTAAACAACGAATTGAAGATTAACCAGGAGCAGAAAAAGGCACAAATAAGGCAAAATGCAAAAATTGGCATCAGAAGCTAAAATAGCAAAAAAGGTCCATTGCCTATTGTTAAGTCATAAAATTGTAACAATAATAGAAAGGCATATTGCCAAACTTCAGGGCTCTATCAATCTACTACCATCTGAGACGCCCTTTGATTTAGCACCCCTAGCCTTGTTTAAGCAAAAGTCCACCCTAGCATACCAATTTCACTCCCCACAGTTATTCTTATGACTACGGATGTATCATCATTACCTTGAGGATTCCCTTGTTTTTGTGAAGGTGTTATCACTGATTTTGGCCTCAGCTTACGCAAGGCACCATTTCCTTTACAGGACACAGGAGAATGTGTATCCACAAGGTCTGTGTTGCCATCTACATGAGCAATCTTCTGACAATTATTTTCAGAGCTGTCCTTTTGGCTGACATTAATGCCCGGAACTTCATCAGTGACTTGGTTCTTCGCAGATAGACCTTCGAAAAAATTGACAAAGAGGGACATCAGAAGACGTCAAAATGAGTTTTGAACATTTCCCCAAGCTAGTTTACTTTTCATGAACTGCTACCATATGGTTACAATTGGCACGAACATAACTTACCATAATTCATTATATTGTACGAGAATTAAATACAGTAAAACTAGCCTATTTAGCTATGCCAATTATAAAATCAATTCTTTGGTTTTGTAATACACAAAACATTTGAAACATTTAATCATTGAAAAGCCATCTGGACAGTTTTTACTACATTTTGGTAAAGTTTACAATAACAAGAGTGGTTTGAATTGCTTCTGGGACACCTGGAGGTATGTTACTGTATTGACAAATGACAATTATTTCTTCCTAACGTAATTCTATTTCTGTATTATGTTTTCTTTCACTACTTGGAAAATATATGTAGACACATGAATTGAGAAAAATATTGTAAGCAAAATTATGTAACACACTTTTTTTTCCCAAAGATATTATTTTAATTTTAATTTACTGAGTTGATGATAAAAGCACTGCTTAAGTACAATTGAGACAAAAGTTTAATCTTTTGCAACATTAAAGAACAAAAGATGTTCTTCCATTTGATGTATGCATCAAGTTGTTTTAAAACGCACCGTAAGACTTAATTTTTTTATTTTCTTTTGTAATCTGACAATTAAAAAATTTGAAGCAAAAAAGGACCGTTGTATTCTCTGAAACGTTTTATTGAAGAAAGTATATAAATAGAAACCGAGAAATTTCTGGGAAATAAATTAAAACAGAAATTTCTATTGCTGTTCTGTTGCAGCTTCTGCCATAGCATCTCCCCAAGCTCATCCCAATCACCAATGAGTAATTACCATTGTTGCACGATCACCGAGTAATAGCGCTTTCACATCTTACAATGTGCTTGACATGTACTTATGATCTTCTTGGAAAATTAAATTCAAAAGTATGAAATGGATTCGATTTAGTTTATAATTATACAAGTAAACTGATGTGATTCAGTTAACTAAACTGATATTTAATTTGAACTTCATAAAATAGCCCTAACATGCGACATAAAAATCTCAACAAATAAGACTAAAGCTATGTCATTTCAAGGCAAAGAAATGAGGAGGGTTAAAATTGTTATAGATGGAAAAATAATCGAACAACTAGCACAATTTATGTATCTACGAAACCTCATTGGTCAAAATTCAGAAGTCCCCGAAAGAAAAATATTTTTAAAAAACCTAAGTTTGTGCCAGCCAAAGTGCGTGTTGACATTAATCCTTGAAAAAGCGACATAAAAATCTCAACAAATAAGACCAAAGCTATGTCATTTCAAGGCAAAGAAATGAGAGGGTTATGCAATGCTCTACTTGCTTGTTGCGAAATAGCAACAACACATTTCTCATGTGTATATCTCCCAAGCAATTACATAAATCCATATATTGTAATATTCTCTAACAAACAAATGCTATTCGTCAAAACAAAAGGTATCATTACCTCCAAAATTCACCATCACTGAGAAATTCCACAACAAATTAGACCCTGAAGAACTGTAAATAACATTTGCATGCAAGCCAAAGAGAAACAAACTCCAGAAATTCAAAGAACAAACATCTCTTTTGATCTATTGTTAAAAGTATTATCAAAAAGTCACAGAAACACCTATAAAATGCTTGGTTAAAATGATATTGAAATGGTATTATCATACCCACGAAATGACAGCCATATGGCTGCAGTAGAACAAAAAAGGTTAAAAAGCTAAAAGAAGAAATTATCAAAACGGTTATTACGTTAATCAGAGAATTCTTCCCTTGTTCAAGCAATATTATTAATTGGTACATTTTTTGAATATTTTTTATTTTCCAGGCGTCTAAGTATTATATAATTTACTTATAAATATTTAACAAGGCTGATCCGGTGGCCAAGATTGCTAAGGCAGTAGTGCCGTAGCGATCTCGTACCGAAAGATCGCGGGTTCGAGTCCCGCCTCGGGCATGGTTGTATTGTGTTCGTCCTTTCACCCCCTATTCATAACATCATCCTCCATCTCTCATTATCACCTTTCTGAATAACATTCAGAATTGTAACTCGAGGATTTATCCTCACCTCAAGGTGAAAACCATCGACAGTCGACCATGAACAGTAAAAATGAAGTGGAAGGACTCAAGTGGTCCAATGTGGCCAATCAAGTTAATAATAATAATATATTTAACAATGTTTTTAATGGGTAAAATAGTTTAAAATTGCCTTTTCACATTTATGACCTAAAACTCCCATTTGTTTGAAAAATTGGTTAAAGTAGTGTACACGGAACGCCCTTAGAGAAGTAGGAAGGTAGGGGAGGGGGGAAGAGGAAAGGTGGGAGGCGGCTCCAGCCCTCCCTCAAATTACGCTAAGTGCTCTGACAGAAATGAATTAAACTTATAGGCAATTATTATGGTGGTTTGACTGACGGTTTTATAATCCAAAGATAGGTCATTACTAATACCTGAATTATATTCAACTTGCTTGTCGCAAACTACGGCCCCTTCCATACGGAACACTTACGCACATGAGGAGTGGCCTCTTCCTTTATACACTTCCACTAGAAACCATCACACAACTCTTTTCGCTTGGCCAACCTCATTGGACACTTTCACACAGGACACTTAAATCCTGCAGCAATCAAACCAAGTTCCTACGCCCATTTAATGACAGCCAAACACCCCCTTCGATGCAACACGTAAAAAAAGTCACATTTAGTCTCACCATTGTAGCACAAACCCTCGACACAAAAACACAAAGAATCTGAAGGCAAGAAACTTAACTCTACGACAGCAACATAGCCAACCATTTTGACAGCTTCCCGACACAGAAAATTACATAGACAAAAACACTATTTATGTGCCTCCACACATCACTATGTGATATAAGTTTCGACAAGATATTAGGATGAAATTTACCTGCCACCGAACTTTTGACGTCACGTTCGTGACCAATTACCAATCATTAAAATTATTTCAGAAGTGTATTTTGTAAAATTTATTTAAATTGCCCACGCTTTGCTTTTTAAATGTATATACTAAGTTATGCACACTGCACCCCTCCCTACTGAAAGGTTACCCTCATTACACCCTTCGTCCCCTCCACCGTGGATTTCCCCCTCACAGGAACAGTGCGAACTGCTGGCTTAAACAACTTCTTTAATTTGTACTGTATACTAGACTTCCGCCGAAAAATTTATTGGAGCCCCTATTGTATATGATTTCTATAATCTGAGATCACCTTAGATTTATGACCTTTAGGTAGCTACCTAGTTTATCTCGTCCACACGTACATACAAATTTCACTCTCCTCAGTTATTTCCACAGCTCTGGCTCTATTATAGTTACCTTCAGGTCTCCCTTGTTTTTGCGGAGGTGTTGTCACTGATTTTGGTCTCAATTCCGGCAATGCACTATTTCCTTTAAAGGAATCAGGAGAATGTGTGTCCGCTGGGGTTGCCTTGGCATCTAAATGGTGAGCAATTTTCTGAGAATTATTTTTAGACCCGTCCTTTTGGCAAGCATTAATTCCTTGAACGTCACCAGTGACTTGATTCTTCGCAGATGGATCTTGAGTGATGTTTTCAGTAGTATCACCAGGTACGTTGTCCTTTTTGGAAAAAGGAAAACCAAACATTATTAAGTTTCCAAAAAGTGGTAAAAACTTCAAAATCTACCATTGCTTTACATACAGAAACCTGACTTAGTCCCTTGACCTCCAAGGACTTAGCAAGAGTCACAAATGTTCTATAGTTGCCTTCTGGAATTTGCGTGACCCCAAGGTACATAAAATCAATCACTGCTTTCAGATTTTGAAATGATTCATCTAAGAGGATGACAAGTGGGTGATCTTCAGTCTCCTCACAAAAAAGCTTCTATAAAGAACAATGCAGAAGAAGAATGGTAAGAAAGATTAGCATTTTGCTCTAAAACCATCTCTTCAAAGACACAGCACAGATCTAGAGCATATTGTCTATTGGTAGTTATGGTGACATATAAGAACCATTTCACTTCACAGAGGATGAACAATTAACAACTTTGAAACATTTTGTCATAGGTTGGTATTATTTTTTTACTTTCTTGTGTATGTAGAATAGAGAGAGTAATAGTTATTAATTTGATAGTAAGAGGGCTATAAAAGGTGATATCAGTAGTTCATTACAAAAAATTCACATACAGAACACATACACATTATATTTTATAACACATTGCCAGATGACAATGAGCAATTAAAAGTCAATTTACAAGTTTGTGCCATGTAAAATTCTGCTGGTAACTGTTTCTATACAATTAAGAGTCTATAAGAGCATCAAAAACTAAATAATAATTCAATGATATTTGTGTATTAATTACTATTTGGACTGTATAACTCTAAAATATTAAATAATATGCCTTCTACAAGTATTATACCTTGGCTTCTGGGCCAATAATCACCATTTCATTTAAATTTTTCATCCAGTTTCCCTGATCCTTTGAGCAAATGCTGAGATGGCCCGCTGTTTTGCTTCTAGGCATAAATGTTACTTCATTATCTGTGCTTGTTTCCTCGAGTTCAGTGGAGGATATAGATATTCAAATAATGTTCTTACAGCAGCGAGTCCATTCCTTCATGAAAAGCATGATGAGGGATAATGGCAAAACTTTGTAACTGATTTGCTTTTCAAAACATTTTTATTACACGGAAGCTAATAATTTTTTATCAATTCTAGAAAGAAACACTTTCACCTGTGTTCACAAATCGACTCGTATATAGGTTAAGGTTGATCACAGAATTTAAGAAAACACACACATATAAAGACATCTTTTCAGTGTCATTTTCTCTAAACAGCCAAATTTTTGAATAGAGAATGTTAAAATTTAGCCATCGATGATACTTAGATAACATATTTGATTTTTCAATCTATTTATCTGTTGTAAAAGATCATTTGGAGGATGTTAATCCTGAGAATCACCCAACACCTGTAGTTAAAAGTAAAAAAGGAACCAATCAGAAAAAAGAAAAATGAATTATATAAACACTATACTTACATGAAAGTAAGGACTGCATGCAGATAAAACTAGTCTGTGAGCTTTCAGGCTCTGACCCTCTGCAGATATAGTGCAATCAACAAAAGAATTATTATCTAATAAACTTTTAAATTCTGTTGCCAGTCCACTGGTGTGGTCTTCCCAAGACAGAGTCACAACTGTCTCAGCCATGCTTGAATTGCTCTGAAACAAGTCCGAAAACACATTTTCATAAAACTACTTGGAAAGTGTATAAACGGAATAAATGTCTCAAGAGAGTTTGTATCATAAATACAGTATGAAGTATACCATGGTAACTACAATACTACAAATACATCTGTAACTACAAATCCATCTACAACAACCTATCTGAATACAAATTAATTATTCGATTACGAACGCTTACATTATTTGGCTGTTCTAGGTTAGCACCTAGAGTGCATTACGTGCAAATTACTTGAAAGTTTATTAAGCAATGGGTACAAAGAAATCAGGGGAACATACTTTCAAAACGATGCTTAGTACAGTTTGTTAGACGTATTATTTGAATACATCCGCCTTCACTGCTAGTGAATTATTTCATCATTGTATCACAAAGTACGTCTATGTCTTGGGCCGCATAGCAATCTGTTCTCACCGCGTTCGCACGAGTATTTTTTTTTTCTTATAGGGAGTTCATGCATTCTCGAACGATTAAGCACTATCGATTTCCGGCGCATGCGCATCACTCTATACTTGGGTTTTATTTCTTACAATGTAATATTTCTCAGACGCGCCGCTAGATGTCGCATGATGGTAATTATTCAGGAGTGCCGGCGATCATGCATGCATGCATGTAGCATGACTGAATAAGCCGCGAGATATTCCATCGTGAAGACAGGCCCTCACGCACCAAGAACTAAAATCCCAAGTGTAATGCATCTGCGCATGCGCAAAAGATACTTCAGACAATTTTTTAATGTACAGCCTTTCTGGTGTAATTTACCATTTATTTTTTCTACTCCCATTGTATAATTCTGTCATTTGATGGCTGCTACCCGTTGTATAATGATACTCATTACGACACATGGGCCGTAATTATGTATTTCTGATTTCTCAGAAATTGCAATTTTAAGTTCCATAGTTCTGTAATTCTCGTTATAGATTGTACCAAATATTCACATTCTTGCGGACAGTAATTGAACTAATTCAAAATCAACTTCAGAATAGAAGCAGTACCTCTTGGTAAACTCAGCTTTTAGCTGAAAAATGACGATTTGGCACTTGTGTCACTTTTTTATTGGAGGTGCGATATTTCATTATGATACTGGCTTTTAACCAACCACAGAGAAGTTAATAAACCAATCACCCTTATACTGAAATTTTTCTAACTATGCCTCTCAATGCCCTACATAGCGGTGACATTATGTCTCTGTTTCTCGCGTCTTTCTCCGTCGCGTTATGCGAATTAGAAAAATCGCAGTATAATTAGTGAGTTCGTGCACGCCGTAGCGAACAGCAATCGACTGCGTTAAGGGGAAGCAATCGAAAGCACTATCGATATCAATAACGGGAAGAAATTTCAAATTGTGGCAACAGAGTGCTGCTACAGTGAAATTGTCATCAGCTGTTCAGTGTTGTTCGTTTTACTTCGTTTGAGGCTTTTGAAAATTTCATATTTGTATGTATAACGTTTGATAATAAATAAAACCAGTATTAAAATTTGTACCCAGATCTCATATTTACATGTTAATACTAGTTTATATAAAGTAAGTAAAACAGAAATAAAGTACATATGTGGATTTAAGTATGAAACCAACAAAAGGAAAAAGAACAATGTGAAAAATACATTTGCTTCTTGATTAACTTCTCCCCATATCATGTCACACACTGTTTTTGACGTAAATAATAAATACATATTATTTTCTATCCTAATGCATTTTGTGAACCAAGGTATTCACTATTTCAGTAATATTTTAGAATCAAATAATTGTCTCTTCACACAAATAATGTGTGTCAACTTGTTTGACATAACCTACACATTAAACTTAGTAGACATAATGACACAATGACAAATGTTACCTATCTTAAGATTTATACAATATGACAAGTATGAAAATACCCACTTTCATTGAATACAAAATTCAAAATCCCATTGAACTCATGGTAGCCTTCAAAATTACAACGTATTTGTGTTTCTAGAATTAAAAACCTAAATTTAGAATTTCCGTATGGAAGTAAATTACAGAAGCCCTCTTCAGTATTCAGATTTAATGATACATTAGTGCTAGAGAGGAACTTCACAGTTCATGGGGGTGGTTAAAGTCAAGTAGTAATCCAAAATTTGGTGAAATTGTAAGCTAGTGAAGAAATACAATGCAATAAATTATATTAACACATTTCTTCCTGAGAATACCGATTTATATAATTTGATCCACTAACTGGAAAGGATATAACTCTTATTTTTGTTTATTTTATTTTTAATGACATTTCTTCTTCTGCGGTAGTAATTTACTTTGACTTAACCAAAGAATTCACTACGCATTTTACAGACTTGCATTGATACTTTGTCTATTTCTTGTGAAGACTTTATTACGTATTCAGTGAATTACAACTGACGTAGATTTCGGGTAATTGAAAACTGTGAGGCTAGCATTAGCACTCATGTAGCTCTATATTAAACCTTAATCAAATCAGTTGAAAAACACGAAAATACCGTGCAATAAAAGCACCATGGAAATATTAGCAGCACACTCTGCCGTCACAGTCGGGAACAAATTCTATATAAAATGGCCGAATGATCGATTACTTTGCAATAAAAGTCGCCCGCTAAATTCGGCGAAACAACGGGGTCCGCTAAAACTTTTCATTTTCATTTTCGAGTTGGCGCATGCTCAGAGACTAAAAAATTGCAGTCAATTGCTTCTCGCTAAAGCTAACACAAACTTTCTAACTGAGAACACCGGTCTACACAGGAATATATTTTTTTTCTGCTGACCCAAATGTTTGAACTGATTATATATAATTTGAGGTCACAGATCACAAATATGCTGTCAAAAATTGTTCATAACGTCACCGTTTTTCACAACAACCCGTTAAAAAAATGTATCATTTTCATGTATTGCAGCAGGATCCTACTAAGTAGCACATCCATTTCTTTATAAAAAAAAGAAAAATAGTGATTTATACCTAGTTTTAATAGTGTTGTTTAGTCTGGACTTATAAATAAATTGAAAAATATACAAACTTAATAAACACGAAGTGTAATCATGAAGAAGGAACTTTCTCTTCTTTGATTTTCTGGAATAGCTAGAATCCAGGATGTCATGATGCAAGACCAAACAGTAATCTGCTATCATATTTGTGTTCCATATACCTTGACCTTCGATTGTTTTTTTTTATCTTGATGGAAGCACTTACCTTCCCCTTCACTTACATCCCAAAGATTTGAGGGAAATACATTTAAGTGGCTGCGAATAGAGCACTTGACACTAATGTTTGCTCCTATCCTCTGATATGCTATCAACATAGTTTCAACTAAAACATTGTAGTTGTCTGCCCTTTTGCTGCCAAGAAAGTTTCTTGCAATATTACAAAACGCACACAAAACTTCTTTCTCCAAGGTGCTTATTGTTACAAAAAATTCTTTATCTTTCAATAGAAACCTTATTTTAGGGCCATAAAAATACCAGCTTCGACTTATAAAAATGTTATAATTAACTTAATTTATAATATATATTATAACTTAATTTATAACTTAATATATAATTAAGGGGATGAATCCTCTCAATATTTTATTCTCGCCATACATTCAACTTTCAATTTTTTTTCAAGAAACATATTTAAGAATCAAATTTTTTTGACTAGTTTTACTATAGGAAATATAGAAAACCAAAATCGTTCCATCTTTGAAAAGAAATATGAAATGTTTAAGAATAGATCAGATTAAATATTGTACAACTTAAGATTAATTACAAACACTTTGGTTTAATTCTCACCGAGCAAAATATTCATTGGGTGACTTTTCATGTTTTTTTGTTTTGTAATGTATTTTGATTGAAACTGGAATGGTTTGGGTGAAATATCATTGTTTCAATGAGTTTATTTATTCAATTATTTATTCATATGTCTCATTTATCCGTTGACACATACTTTTCCTTTTATTTAATAGTTTGAAGGCTTGGCATATAAGGCCTTTAGCGTTTTTGCCTTTTTATTTTGCTTTATCTGTTATGTTCAAAAGATCTTTTTACGCTGGAGGTTGCGGCAGCAACTGTAAATGACAGTTTTCCCTCCAACACTGCTTTAATTGCAGCACGCGATTTTTTTTTAAATTCTTTCCGCCCATTTTGTTTACGTCTTAAATTAATAATACATTTGGTTTTAATGTAGAAAATGGAGATTTTTGGACACTGCTCCAATCGGCCCGAAGTTTGTATCCAAAGTTTGTTGCCATTCAAAGAACTAACTAATCAACTACGTTATGTTTGGATAGTAAGATAATACACTACTCAAATGTTTAAAAATATACTATGTATATAAAGTATTGAAGTTTCTATTTCAATCACAAAGATTAAGAAATTCTCTTAAAAAGTTAAAAGGATCAAACTTACCGCAAACGAGTATAAGCGAATTTTGTCTTGCGCTGATCTTTAATCAGGGATTATTTAAAGTTAGGAATGGTTCTAAAGAAAATGTTTATAAAAGCTAACATGATGAAAGCAAAAATCCCTTGTTAAAGTATAGATATATTTTTGCTGGCCAAATGTGCCTTGAGTGTAATTGAGCACTAACTCTTCCTCTCTCATATGATTTGTAAGGCGGGGTGGAAAGTGGTGCGTGGGCAGGGACGGGCGGCGATAAAGGAGGGGCTCATGGCGGGGCAGTATATAGCGTGGCCGACGAAGAGTCGTTAGCGAGGAGCGGGATTGGAAAGAGCTGCGCCGGCCCCGGGACGGGCGGAGATAAAGGAGGGGCTCATGGCGGGACGAGGTGTATCGCGGGCGGGGACGAAGCAGTTCCGGTTAGCGAGGAGCGGGGATGGAAAGAGCTCGCCGGTGGCGGGGACGGCGGCGATAAAGGAGGGTCTCATCGGAGGGCGGAGGTTATACGCGGGCGTGGACGAAGAGATCGTTAGCGAGGAGCGGGATGGAAGGAGCTTGCGCGGTCGGGGACGGACGGAATAAAAGGAGGGCTCATGGCGGGAACCGGACGTTATGGCGGGCGGGGACGGAAGCAGTCGGTTGCGAGGAGCCGGGGATGGAAAAGCTGCGCGGCGGACGCGGTACGGCGGAATAAAGAGGAGCTCATGGGCGGGGAAGGTTATCGCGGGCGGGACGGAAGAGTCGTTAGCGAGGAGCCGGGATGGAAAGGAGCTTGCGCGTGCCGGGGACGGCGAGAGTAAAGAAGAGGCGCTCATGCAGAGGACGGAGTTATACGGGGCGGGACGGAAGAGTCTGTTACGCGGAGAGCCGGGGATGGAAGGAGTTGCCGCCGGCCGGACGGGCGCGAGATAACAGGAGGGCTCATCGGGAGCGGAGGTGTATAGCGGCAGTGGGACGGAAGAGCGTCGTTACGAGGAGCGTGGATGGAAGAGCTGCGCGAGTCCGGGACGGGCGAGGCGATTAAAGGAGGGCTTCTGGAGGGGACGGACGGTTATACGCGGGGGCGCGGAGGAAGAGTCGGTAGGCGAGGAGCGGGGATCGGAAAGAGTCGCGGCGGGGACGGCGGCGATAAAGAGGGCTCATGGCTAGGGGACGGAGGTTATGCGGGGCGGGACGGAAGAGTTTCGGTTAGCGAGGCAGCGGGGATGACGAAGACGTGCGCCGGGGACGGCGGCGATAAAGTAGAGGGCTCATGGCATGACGGGGCGATGTTCGCGGGGCGGGGACGGAAGAGTTCGGTCAGGCGAGGAGCGGGATGATAGGAGTTGGCGCGCCCGGGGCACGGGCGCGATTAAAGAGGGGCTCGATGGAGGGGCGAAGGTTATCCGCGGCTGGGACGCGAAGAGTCGTAGCGAGGAGGCTGGGATTGCGAAGGAGTTGCGCGCCGGGGACGGGGCGGATGATAAAGGAGGGGCTCATTGGCGGGGAGGGAGCGATGTTCGCGGGGCGCGGGTCTGAACAGTGTCGTTTGGGAAGTTGGTTAATGGCCGGAGGCAACAGTAGTTCAAGCCTGTGAGGGCTTGAGAACAGAGCGGGAAAGTGGCGGAGAGAGGTGTTGTGCAAACAGCGAGGGACGGCTGCAGGGCGGGAGGCAGGCGATGGAGGACGTTATTGCGTACTGGCGGGTAGGGTGTTGAAGGAAGGGAAGGAAGGGACATTGGATCGTTGGTTATTAGCAACGAAGGGGTTGGAAGCGGGTGGTAGCGGGGTGAGCGGGTGTCGGAGCGAGGGTGGGGCGGGGGTGGGAGCCCGGGCGTGGGAGCCGGGGGTGGGAGCCGGGGTGGGAGCGGGGGTGGGAGCCGGGTGGTGGGGCAATGTTGGTGCGGGGCGGCTGGCAGGGGCAGGGGCAGGGACGACACCGGCTGCTGCGGAGGCGTTGCAGGGCCCGGGAGTGGGTGCGTAATTGGAAGTAATGGAGAGGAGCGGGGGCGGGGCGGCGGCAGCAGGGGCGTTGCAGGGCGCCCTGGGCTCGAAGGGGGCCGGCGCCCGGAGGGGGGCCTTCGGTGGCGGGGAGCGAGCGCCCCCAGCCGGCTGTGCCCTCTCCCTTTGCAACGCCTCCCGGCAGCAGAACACCCAGCGCAGCGCCTGGCCACAGAGCGGACATGTCAAAGATTAATTACAATATATAACTGATTATTGAGCTCCTTGCTTCACTAAATGACACAATACAATGAGAGGGTTAACGATGTACCGCAGAAAACATTGCAATGTAATTGAAGAAAAAAATTATATGTACTTATATAAGTTATGTGTACTTATAAGAATTAATGTACTTATATTTAGCAAAATATTACAACTACGAGTATAATCTGCAAGTTTGTGTTAAAATTACACAAAAATATCTTATATGAAATATTTTGGATAAACACATTTCATTAAGAAAAAAATATCTTCACAGTTGTAGTCGTAGGAAGACACAGATTTTTTCAATTTTTGAAAAATTAGCCATTTTACACTGATTTGTCAGTGTTTATCAGTGTAAAATGCCAAATTTTTTAAAAATTGAGAAAAATTGGCATCTTTCTACAACAATTGTGAAGATAAATTTTTACACTTGTGAAGATAGTCGCCCTCGTAGAAATTCCTGAACTTCGTGAAGTTGGTTTCTCAAACATTTTGCTCTCCGTGCAACATGGCGGCCAGAGTCTGGTCTGGCTTGGCTCCTTAGGGTTTCAAACGAAGTGCCCATGCTGTGGTCACGTGACTCGTGACGCAAACGTGTTGCGCAGTAGGAAGAAAACTCGGTGGGTCGGAGGAACTCACCTATATCTTTCCACCACGGTTTAAACCAATGCCAGCACCCTTGCCCCGCGGAGGCGTTGGTGAGTGGCTTCGTGAGAAAAGTTCCTAACGAAGTGTGCTTAGAATCTCACCTTCATCGTCTGGTCCGGAAAACAATATAACAACGGGCTGAGAGCACTGCTAAGCACGTTGAGCAGGCTGAAGGAGAGTTTCATTCGCCAAAAGGAATACACCGACGAACCGCTGACGTCCTTGTTAAAGAGGAACACAGTCACAGCCCATGCTGGTGCTCGTAGAACAAGGGAAACGGCCATCATGAGTAAGATGCGTCTGAAAAGAAAACAAAATGGTCGTATTTCGCTAAATTTTTAACGATATAAAAATAAAAATAAAATCTGCGCTTGCGTTCTAATCGTATGTGCGTTGACTGTTCAGCTTTGTGTGCTTAACAGATGGCTCTGGTAACGCGTATGGTACATTTCATCGGGTGTCCTAATTTTCGCTTGGTCTGTGGCGATGAAAAATGGCTGCGCTACTCTTCTGTCTGCACCGAAAAAATACACGGCTTTCGCAACCTTTTTTTTTCTGAATGTGCATCAGAAGATGAAAATCCTCAGACGACTTTCAGCATAACGGGGGTTCAATGTTTTTCCTTGGCGAAGAGTTTACCAGTATATTGAACCGTTCAAAAGCAGTCATACAGTTCAGGACGAGAAAAGAACGAGATGTTGAGTCTCATTCACTACTGTTGCCCAAGTGCGTGACCTAATTTTGAATAACCGATTTTTACAATGATTTTGAATGAATTTTTAAAAACACAAAATTTAAAAAACTAAGTTTAATGTGATTTATATTAAATTTACATTAAATTAAATTACTGAACACGGTTAGAGTAATTTTCTCTGACTGTTCAGTCGTGGCAGACTCCCTGGTGAGCTGAAAATATTCGACATCTGACGAGTCTGTGCCGTTGTTTCCACAGCAAAACTGGTGCGTCAGCGGAAAAGCGCGTCCGTCCGCGAATGAAAATCCGCCGCGTCACCCGCCTGCCGCGTATGCCTGAACGTGTTCGTAAGCCAACACGGTGACGCGAAACTTTCGCTGCGGACATTTTGTGGCGGTGTGGATAATTCGCGCCGGTCTGTAGGGGTCTTAAACGCTGTCATTCCGCTGTCGCAACGCTTCCCTGTCGCGCAGGTCTAAAAGTGCTCGTAAGCCAACACGTAACGCGAAACGTCCGCTGCGGACATTTCGCGTACGGTGCGAATAATTCGCGGCGGTCTGTAGGGGCCCTTACTGAAATAATATAGGAGAGCTTACCTGAAGGTGCGGACGTTGCGCTGCCTGGCGGCCTGGCGTTGCGGCGAGGCGATGGCGGTGGGGGCGACGTGAGCGACGTGGGCGTGGGCGGGGGCGATGCTGTGTGCGTCGTGCGACAGCGAGGTCACGCCCGTGCGCTTGCCGTGCGTGAGGCTCGGGCTGGTGCCCACCGTCGGCCCCTGGTCCGGCGTCTCGCCTCGCTGGTGTTTCGCAGGCGCCGACGACGCGCGAAGGGGGAAGCGGCGTTGCCACACGTACCTATATTTTTTTTACTTTAACGAATATTTCCAATGAATTTCATTGGGGAAATAATCAGTAATAAGAGATTTATTAACAATATGTAATGAAATGCAAGTAAACTTGTCTGCCATTGGTACTTTCCTTTGCAATCTTTACACATGTTTGACCAAATAGTTATTTATGCACTAAGTGCGATATAATGAAGCTTCTTGGTCGACAAAGTGTCTTCGGGTCAAAGGCCCTCTGGTATTTTGTCGCCGCTCGGTCATTTGGACGAAATAACGCCTGTGGTACATACATAATTTTATTTTTTACCTAATTTGATTGATTAAGGTTTACTTATTTACTAATTAAGTAGACGTTAACTTGACTCTGTTTGCCTTTTAAAATCTCCCTTCCATAATTCCCTCCACAAGAAAACATTCAATTGTTTCCTAATTTCCCTAGAAACTACAGTCCTTTCGATTCAGGTAAGTTATGAAGTGTATATCGAGCTTCATATCGAAGGCAATAACAACCTATAACGTCATGAATAAAAAATAAACCTTATTAAAACAATACTAAAACAATATTAGAACATTATTGTTGTAATACAGTTATAATGTCTTAATTTCCTACTTTTAGATTTCTGAAGAATACCAAGGAATTTACCAACGGGTGACTTTTTTCTTGTATTTCATTTTATATTTTTAATAACTCTCTTTACAGTATTCACTAATTTATTCCCTGTAAAATATATACAATTGATAGATTTTGTGTTTGAATACGCGTCAATTGCTGTTGTCAGTAGTTCTGGAAGTCCCGTGTATGTTGTATATCGAGAGGTGCCGGCGATCATCCACGCTTGTAGTTTCCCTCCTTCAGGTATCTCCCCAGCGGGGCACCTCCTCAGCCGAGACACGGTCTAGGCTTTCGCCCTGTCTCTGCAATGTGTAAGGGGTGACGTAGGGGCCATTGTTCAGTTTGGAAAGATCTTGCGCAGACCCTTGCCCGTTTATTAGGGTACTACCCCGGTTTTCGTTCGGTGTTGATAGAAGAAATTATTAGAAACCACCGATCACAATAGCTAAGCACTGCAATTCTTCTCAAGACAGTGGCTAAAAACAACCTAGCTCTCTAGTCAGTGTTGAAAATTCGCTATCGTTGGGTTAGAAGCCCAAGGACATCCCTGTTAGAAAACTGCAACGTACCTTCGGGCGAAAAAGCGTTGCGCATTGAGACATTTTAAAAATGTTTGAATACCGGATTCAAAGGAGAGGGTATGGCATTGACGATCATCAGTGCATACTGAAAACACGGTAGCAAGGGAGGGAGAATAAAAGATATTGATGTTTTTAAAACATCCTTGTTTTGCGTTCGATATTTTTTTCAGAAGAATTGGTTCGAACACCTAACCAGAATGCCACAAGAACGGCTTCCCAAGACTATCCTCGAATACAAACCAAAGGGGAAACGATCTAGAGGCAGACACCACACAAGATGGGAAGAGACTCTTGAGAGCGGAACCCAAACCTTGAGAGGGCCAAACCTTGTTGCTGCTGCTGATGATGATTTTCTTCAGACCGATATACTTGTTCAGAAACATCGATTTTTTAAAAAAAGCAATTTCTCATGATATAAATGAAATTTCCAGTATTGCTCCCAATCACGTCATTTTCAACTGTCAATACTGTTGATCCCCAGACGGCAAGAAATAGTTTGCTATTCAGAACCTTTCTCCAGTGTTACGGCCTTCTTTATTATTTTTTCGTGATAATATCGTTCAGTTGAATTTTCATCCTTGGCCATAGAACATTGTTTGGAACATTAAGACGACATTGAAATTTAAAGCAGAATATACATTAAACTAATATTGATGTGTCGTGACTCACATTAGAACCAGAAAATGTTACTTCTATGCCTATTTAACTATTATGCTTTGATATCATACTACGTTGCATCATATTTAAAACATCTATGGTTTTTCGGATGTTTCCATCGACATCGAAAACCTTTTGTTGATGTATCGATCTTTTGCTAAAATTTCCCATCACTAAGGGGGAGTTTGTTTCCACACTAGTGCAGGAACGAGAGTACATTAACTCATGTTAAGGTCATGTTAACGTAACAGACACGGTTGATTACATATTTTTGCTATAGCAGCAGTTTAAAAATATCAACCGCGTCTGTTATTGGCGATTTATCAGAATAATGACGTTAATAATCGGCTATAACTTAGACCGTACGTTGAAATTCGTCTTCTGCTCTTCTGTTTGTGTAGAGTCGATATAATAGCATATAATTACGAAAATACTTTTTAAATTTTTTGAATAACAGTTTAGAAGGAAAATGACATTGCCTATTGTTCGAGAGTGCTGCCAATAAATACAAATGCACATTGTGAAGAAGCACCCTTGCCTGAAGTATTGTACTGTAAGTTAAGGCTTTTTAAAATCACTTTAATACCGTTCATCATGGAAAGGATATTGTACTGTATTGTTTATTGCCAATTAATTGTGTCAGTGAGTTGGAAGCCCTGATAAAGATGCGGTTTTGCTACTTGTACTTGGCGTGTGAACGAGTACGTGCAAATGACACGCCCGCGTTTCTATCAATAAAGTGCTCTCATTCGGTATCTATGAAAATCTAAAACTCATAAATGACTACTTATTTTAGACAATCCTTTATTTCTTAAAAATTCCCGTATTTCTCAAGTTATTATTCGTCTCATTAAATTAATTCTGAAAGTTGAACTTTAAAGTTAAATTTCAAATATAATAGATTTTGAGTACCTATTTTAAAATTCCCTTTCTACAGAATTTTTATTAACGGTCAAATCAAACATCCATAAATTTTTAAAAAAAAGAGCAATTTTTAAGAAATATTCTTTCAAAATTAGAACACAGTTTTTAAAAAGAGAACACATGAAAAAATGTTAGTGACAAATATCTTTTTCTATTGGCCGTAAATATAAAAAGATCGCCGTTTTCCGGGGCACAATTCATAATTTCTTACAAAGTACATCGCAAGGCAAAAAAGTAAAAAATATATAATCATCATACATAGACATTAAAAATTGTTGTGTATCCTTAAGGGGTTGAATTACATCTTATCTTAAGGGTTTCGAAGCATTGACTGCCTTGGAAGCGCAAATGGTTAGAGCAACGTGGGCGTGTGCTAGGAATTTCGGATTCGATTCTCGGCTGGGGCAATCGATTCTTTGAACACACAAACTATAATTTCCATGTGCAGCGAGTGAGAGTGCTTTGTGGATGCAATGTTAGGACGTGAATACCATACTATCCTGTACGTTTCTGTCGCAACTGGCATTTGTGAAGATGGTTCAGAGCATCAACTGACGTCACTGCAGTGCTTCTAACAGGGGGTCCTAGGATTTGAGTGCCAAAAGTGGTATTGAATTGAATTTGAATTGATGCCTTATTTTACACGGTGAGCGTCAGGTCATGAGGCCTGCTGACGTTAACGCCTACTGACGTGATGTCTTTTCATCATCTAGTGGAGAAAGAAAGTATTACTCGTGCGACAAAACAGGTGTTTTGAATGTAGTTCAGAGACTTCATTTAGCCTTGAGGATCTTTTATATGCACTAAATCTACTAACACGGGACAGCCGGCTTTACTTCCCCTCCGAAGGACGACTTTTTTCGCTCTTAAAAATCCACGCATTTGATCGAGTTAGAACACTCGAATTAGGGTATTACAGCTACATATACTAACCGTTACACTACCGACGCAGCATGCAGACACATACTAGATAACTAGATAGAATTTAGCCGCTTCCTGCAGGAGAATTCTAGTGGCCGCCTTCTCTGATTTGTAGTTACCGTGGGTTCTCCGATCAACAGAAGGCGAATATCGGATGAGAACAAAGGGTCACGGACGGCTTATTTCCTTCCTATTTCTTGTCCTTTTTTTCACCCCATACTTAAACATACTCACATGCAGTACACAACCAAACATGTCGGCAGACCAGTCGTGAACCTTGTCCCGGCTGGGTGCTCCGCTGGTGGATGATACCTTTCGGGGAAAACCTCGCAACCCGACGGGTAGGTTGGCGCCGGACCTCGCCATCCAGTGGGAGAAGATCACCTCCGCTGTCCGCGACAAAACATGCACGACACTCACGGGACCAATGACCTCAGCAGCTGACTTGTCCCTAAACCAACCAGTCGCACCTGGCGATGACGGCGTGCAGCACGAGGAAGGCGGCGAGCAGCGGCAGGAAGATGACAGCGAAGACGGCGGCGAAGTAGCCGCCCGTGTGGGTGAGCTCTCGCAGCACGCAGCGGTGCGCTTCGTCGCACCGGCGAGCCCCGTCCGCCCCGCAGCTCAGCACCTTCAGGTGGGCGAACGTGTGCTCCCACAAGGACGGCGCCCCCACTCCTGCAAGGGCACGACACGGAATCGCGCATTAACAGTGCCATTGGTGCCATTATGGTACCTGAAGAACACCAATGGGAGAGAAGTCAAAGGCGCACACCGAAATAAATTGTAAAATAATTCAAGTAATAAAATAATACATTTAATAACTATTGCTACATGGATTAGCAATATATTTGTTGTAGATGTATAGGAAGTGTCAAATTTGATGGAAATGGGCGGAGTTTTATCATGTCGATAACGAATTTTGTCTGCGCGGATCTGTCAACCATGGTTGCATAAAGTATATCGATCAAGTGATCATACTCGTGGAGATGTAATGGAATTTGTGACGTCGTGGTCACCAGTGAAAGAGTATACCTAGAAACGGAAGGTATGTGTCTCGCTAAGGGCGGACTCATAGGTAGTAGGTGTTCTAGGAGGACCGGAGGACTAGGAGGAGGTGTAGTAGGAATGTTGGAGGACGTGTTAATCGAATACGAATAAAAGCTTGATCACAGATTGAAGGCATGGTGCTGAGAACGTTCTCACAAGTTGAGACCATGGTCCCAGACGCAAGATCTTCCAAGAGGTTCGGTCTGGAAGGAAGCCTGCTCACGTGCTTGATGCGTGATCACAGGTGCAAACCGCGGACACGGACTTGGTCATGCACGTGCTCGCAAAGCAAAGGCATGCTCGGTACGAGCTCACAGTTTGAGAGCATGGACACAGGAAGCATATGTGTTTATGTCCTTAGTATTTGCTCCTTGGAAGAACAAATGATCACAAACAACTATAGCGCGCACAGAAGTAAGGCGTGAGAGTGTGCTTGGTGCGTTTGTTAGGGTACTGCTCCAGCTTTCGCCGGGTGTTGATCGGAAGAACATGGAAAGCCACCGATCAGAGCAGCCGGCTGCTATTGTGGATGAACCTGACCTAACTAGTGTCGAAAATTCTGCCACCGTTGGGACTTGAAAACTAGGACCTCCCGGGCAGAGACACCGCAGTGGCATCAGTGGATGCCCTGGGGCACCCCTCCAGAGGACCCGCTCATAAGCGGTGGTGAATCGTTACGCAAGAAGGTATGTACATTATTTTGCAACACCTTGCCAGATGACATTAAACGATTCAATTCGATTCAAAAGTTTAAGTCCTAAGTAAAATCTTTTCTGTTTCTATACAATTAGAGACTCTACCGAGCATTCAAAAGGGAAGTAATATTAATTTTAACATCGACATTCAGTGTTTTATTTATCATTTGGATTGTATACTGTAACAAGTATTCTACTTGAACTTCTGGGTCAATGACCCCCATCTCGACCAGGTTTTCGATCAGTTTCCCTGATCCTTGAGCAAGTACCGAAACGTCTCCTTTTTTGGTTCTGGACATAAATGTAACTTCAAATTAATTTCTCCCCATAGAACACATACAGTTTTTAACTGTTTCCGACGTAAATAAATAAATAAATAAATAAATAAATAAATAAATAAATAAATAAATAAATAAATAAATAAATAAATAAAAACTCTCACCGGCGGCCGCGGCCCAGAGCAGCGCGGCGGCGGGCAGGCCGACGAGGAAGCGGGCGCGCGGCGAAGCGGAGGAGGCGGCAGCGGGGGCGGAGGCGGAGGCGGAGGGGGCGCGCACGCGGAAGACGGCCCTCCAGCGCTCCAGGGCCACGCAGGCGAGCGTCAGCGAGTGCGCCGCCGTCGCCGTCATCTGCAGCCCCAGCGCGCACCGGCACACGCCCGCGCCCAGCACCTGCGCCCCCACACACACACACGCGCGCCCACCGTTGCCAAATATTCGTACTTTCAACGTCATTGTATTTGTTAATAATTATGAATAAATTAATAAAAAATAATAAAATAAAAAAATATAAAAATAATAAAATATAAAAAATAAAATAATAATAAAATATAAAATAATAATAAAATATAAAATAATAATAAAATATAAAATAATAAAATATAAAATAATAATAAAATATAAAATAATAATAAAATATAAAATAATAATAAAATATAAAAGAATAATGAAATAATAACGAAATAATACCAATTTCCTTGATAAAACCTGTATTACAATTACGGGACTAATTACCTTAGAAATTGATTGCCCGGATACACGAAATAATCAATCAAGCTGTCACCCAACTTGATGCTACCTTTTTGGCGTTTATGAGTTACATGCGCCGTGTTGCAATCGTGATGCTACTGCCCCACCATGAAATATTAAACTAATGATGCTACAATAGCACACACTTTCTCGCCTTATTTTCAGTTTTAGAACGTTTAGAGAGTTCAACAAAAACGTCACATGGGCCATTCTTTGAACTGTCCTCTACGCTACCCGAGGACAAAGTTTAGTAAAAAATGGAATCGTTTCCAAGAAAAGTTTCAAACTTTGTGTAAAAAAACTTCAGAAAATCAAAGTACCCACTTATAGCTCAGAGGGCCTCGAGTTCTTTCAAATCAGTTGTCGAATATCAATTTTTGAGAAAATCGGCTGAACGGTTAAAGTCCTTCGTTGGCCAGATTGAGACGGATTCTGCCCATACACGTTAGAGGAAGTATAGTAATTTACTACACATAAGAACAAGATGTATCCACTTTCGTGTTTCCAAAGCTCGGGTAAGAGATTTCCTATAGAAATTTGCAGGAAAGGCTGAGAGAAGGGTTTACTAACAGCTGAGGCGAAATGAAAAATAAAAAAAATACAATACCAAATTGAAAATATTAATTATACAATTTTGATGTAGTTTAGCTGCAGGCATATTTGTTATTATCAAGAATTTATAATTAATGGCGTAATTTCGGACGTCGTCAATCGTATGATATACCCTTACAAACATCTGAAGAAAAAAATCTATTCTAGATTCCCTCGATCCAATATCTACATTGTCATGTGAAAAGAACAAATATGTTACAAATTAACTGTTTATAAAAATTGTCAACAATCTGAAGTGACATTACTAAATACATGAAGCAGTTACACCAAAACAACAATCGATAACCTGGAAAAGCGAGCTTCAAAGTTGCTATATGCGCGAAACTTGTCGTCTGAATTTCCATCTATTTTTGGCAGACAACTTTCCTAAGCCGCGCGTTTCTTTCAATGACCCGTAAGCACCTTGCCTGACTTGGAACTTACGTGATGGATTTCTCTCTCCCTCGTCCACTGGTACGCAAGCTCACGAGGAAAGTCGCCGCAACATTTTCGAATAAATAAAGAAAATAAATGAGGACGAGTATTTGTTCACATTATTCAAAAGATGAATGAATGTTCTCAGTGGATACAAAGCAGATTCATTCCCTATGGCCCTACTGGCCATACTGGAATTATAAATGTTTGAGTTTAATTCGAATTTTGAATTTTTTTTACGAATGAAAGATAATTTCGAATTTAAAATAAGAATGAAAGTTTAGTGATATAGCATGGTTGGTAAATCACTTAATTGCATTAATCAGATAAATATACACAATAAAATAAATTTTGAATTGAACAATTTTAGCCGAGAAAACAAAAAAAATCGAACTTGAATTACCTTCGGAGAGGAATATCTTGTTCGATGAACTAAGTACATCCCGCGTTCATTTGGATCGAACACATACTGTGACAGTGGTGCCATAAGTTGTGCTTTCATATTTTAACTTTCATAAAATTGTGAATATGGAAATTTTTCATCCACGAACAAATCATCGAAAACGTAAATAAATCGCGAACAAAACATACATATAATAACTTGGCTGTCCGGGTGACGCCGCGTCCATGGCGAAGTTACCGACGTTTCAGTCGCCATTCTGCGAACATCCTCAGGCATTACGCCCTGAGGAAGGTCGCAGAATGGCGACCGAAACGTCGGCACCTTCGCCATGGTTCACCTGGACTGCCAAGTCATTACTGACTCCGGCTGCGGAAGCCTACGCTCTCACTTAAAACATAGATGTCAAAAAACATCTTATTCAATACATATATATATATATATATATATATATAAAATTCGATGCTTTTATAGAAACGTCAATATTTTAAAAACATTGACATCGGTGTTGCACCAATATTCGTCGGTAGGTCGTAACTTGAAGGATGCCTTACCCACTTCATGTACGGAGTGCTGAGGTTCGCGATGGCAGTGCCTCCGGTGAGCAGGGCGTTGATGAAGTCGCTGACTGCCAACGAGCCAACCATCCAGCGATAACCATCGCCCCGCTGCCTTGAAATTGGATAGAGAAGGTTTTTATTTCACAGAGGAAACTGTAATGTTACTGTAGAAGAGTGGTCGCCGAACTTACGAAGCTTGTGAACAATCATATCATTTTCAATCGTACTGTGAGCTCCCAAGAAACCAAGACAGATTTTTTTTCAAATCTCAACATTTGTTTATTGTCTATAAATATGCATTTATATTAAATCTGAAACTAATTGTAATAAAACTGTATACAAGAAAAAACTTGAAAGGGAATTGCACATTACAAAAGTTTGAAATATAGTTCGTAACAAATTATAAATATAAGAACTGATTTTTCATCAGACGTGGTAACCAACCTTCGCCAACCTGGGTCATGACTGCGATATACCAAGAACTGTTCCGCAAGCTACTAGTAAGTGGGTTTCGACGATTGGACGATCACTGCTCTTGAACATATAAGTCAAAATGGTACCAAATGCTGTGTGACAGGGGTCAAGCGTGATACCGAGCTTCCAACAAAGATGTTACTCGAACAGAAACATTATTTTCATATATTGCTTGGAGGCGCTTTTTAAAATGATGTACAAATGAATTCCTTGAGAGAAAAATAGACTATTAACTTTTTCATATTAAAAAGAAAATAATTGCGCGATTGATAGGTAACTTATCGTGTTCGCAAAATAGATTTCGTGTGCTTGCTCAGCAAATGAGATCAGGGCAATGCCACATGTGTGACTTATTTATATGAAATTTCACATGTGTACAATGGTAACTAGTGGTGCTAAAATAGCACGTACTTTCTGTTCTGTATTCTCATACTAAATTACGCAAAAACTACTCAAATTTTCAAAAACTTCTACATAACCTTATTTCAAAATGTATTTTAAAGGAATATATTTATTTAAGGAAGAATCTTTAATCTAATATTCTTTAGTCGTAGGAAGACTCCGAACAAATTTCAAACTTTTGCAATTATCAGAAATTCAGTGTTTTTAACGAAAATGAGACTTGCACCATTCTGTTAAACGTCCTTTACACTGTCTAACAACATAATTTAATCAAAAACGACGGAGCCATTGTTTTGAAAATTTGGAAAATATGGGATTCATGTGAAGTACCCCCAAAAATTAACATATCGGTTTCAAATTCAAAAGGCCGCGAAATCAGCCTTATTAATTGAGGAACATCAATTTTGGAGAAAATCGGCTGAACGGTTTAGTCGCTAGCTTTGTTCACGGACTGACAGACGGTCAGACGTTTTGCCGTCATTAGTTTTTCAGGTATCAATAGCTCACAAAACGGGGATTATTGCTACACCACGTGTTAAAACATTTTTTGCTAAATTTAGCAACTAGATTTACCCACTTTTTCGTAACTAGGGCGCTGTAATAAGAGTTTTTTCTGCCGAAAATTCGTTGTTTTTTTTCGCACAGCATAACATAAGTTTCTCTCTATTCAGTAGCAAGGAAGTAGAAAGTAATCGTCACTACACTAACCCTAGTAATTTTTTGTGTTTATTCTGCGGTACCTGTACAAAACAGCATCTTCAATTGTAATGAAATTCAGAGGTTATTATAATAATACAGCCAGATATTGTAGTGCGTCTACTTAATAATTTGTGACAGGCTGGACAATTATCTTTCCTGGCGATCGAGTTGTGAACCTCCCGGGCGCGTTTCTGCGAGGTCCCCTGACCCGAAGAATCGAGCCTTTGCCCTGGAACAGTTTTGTTTACTTTCGACACGGAAACGTCCCAGTTTTCCTTTTAATGCTGATTACACTGGTGGAATCGGACGTCTTGTTCCCGTGCACGATGCACAGTAGTTTTAGATCTCTTTTGAAGGAAGTTCCAACCCTTTAATCGTGACGCCAACAATTCTGCCTGATGCTTTGGTAAATTTAAATCACAATCTTTACTTTAAATCGCAATCAATCATTGAGTTCCCACTTTTTGGTATTGCTTGTAATTCCAGCAACTTCGGTCATGCAGAAATAACAGTCCGTGGGGTGGTTATCCGGTTCCTTCCACATCATGGGATTCGCAAATTGAGCGGATTGTGAATTTTCGTTAAGCCAACCACTAAGTTATGTTACACAAGGCGAACAGCAAATATGAGGGTCGACGATTTGTGCCGATTACCGATGCGACTCCCGAAATACAACTTATATGTTTTTCTTATGTAGGGAATAATACTCTGCCTTTGGTTTTTTAAAGTTACCTCATATATATATCAGGACAGTTAGACATTGAACAAATTCACTGTCGAACAGTGTTATTTCACTTTCCTTCACATTAATTAACAAGGAAGATACGAAATGACACGATCGGATTAAAATCTCAAATGTGCAGATAGCAGTACTCTAAAAATTGACCACTGCGGTCTATATTTCCTTCCTCCTCCTGGTCAACTCTCACCCCTTATAAACACACACTTTCATTTACATGCACTGCACGACCACATATGTCAGGATACTAGTCGGGAGCTTATATCTTGTCTAGGCTGGTGGGAGATACCTGAACGGGGAAATCCCTGCAAGCTGACAAGTAGGTCTTCTCCGGATCTCACCATCCAGACCTAAAGGTCACTGCCACATCCCGCCTAAAAAACAAAACACGCAATACACTTTCGGACTAACGAGCTAACAGTTGACGCGAGCGGGATCACTAATTACTCAATCGATCCAGATGCACACCACCACCACCACTTTCGGTGTTAGAAACATGTCCTACCCCTAGGGGACCGTATAAGTTGATGTGCCCGGAATCACGCAACACTGAACGGAGCGGCGTGTACTTGCTTGGGGGCGGCGAGGAGCTCCGCAGCGTTGAGGACGAGTGCGGAGGCTGTGACGAGGGCGAACACCGTGAGGAAGCAGTAGCGGTCGGCGGCCGGCAGGATGACCAGCTCCGAGTCGAAGTACGCGTACACCATCTCGTCCTCCGGCATGGAGGCGCACACCTCCTGCAGATCTTCCTGCGAACACGCGTAACACCCTGCGTAACACCCTGCGTAACACCCTGCGTAACACCCTGCGTAACCCCCTGCCGAAAGTGCTTCTCTGCTCGCGGTTGGGAACGATGGGTCCATCGCGATGAATGGACAGTGTTGCCAGGTTAGGGGGTTTCCACCTTAATGTTTTTTTCCCTTACAAGGATTTGTAGGGGGAACATTTATTTGGAAGGTTTGTTCAGCGTTTTCGTTGATTTGTAATGCTAATTGTTGCAAAAAAGGTTTATCACAAAATCACAAAACTCCGCCGATAGTTCCCGCCGATAGTTCCATAGGAGAGAGCGGCAGTTGGACGCTCTTTGGGTTCAAAACGATTTCATATACATCGATATTGATGCAATATCTTGATTATTGAATGCCATTAAAAGAGAAAAGTATATTTCTAAGATATTAAGAGATTTTTTTCGATAATATCTGGGGGTTGTGCAATCGTACAACATAAGCACGAGCCGCCACTGCTTATTACTACAAGCAGCCTCTGAGCTACATTCAAACTGCCTAATTCGTCCTCGCCCGAGTGAAACCTTCTCTGCTAAATAGGGAAAGGACGGAATCGAAAGCTGCTTGGCCAGGTGAAAGAGGAGGAGTGATGGCCCGAGACTATCCACGTAAAACAAGTCTTCATTGATTGTTTGATTTAACTGATTGGTACTGGGCTTGATACTTTAGACATTAGAGTGTACTGTGTTTTATGGCCTAAAGGGCTTCGGTCTAACCGTGAATTATTGAATTTAATACAGGTAATATACTTAAGGAATAAATGAGAAATTAAATAAATAAAATGTACATTATGATGAATTTTCAAAAGTGCAGAGTGGAAAGGTCAGTGAAAACGTGAAAAGTGAGTAATTGTAGTGTGGTGAAGTAGTAATTGTTTCTACCAACGTAAAATAATACAAGATTATAGAATTACTCACCCACGTCAGATCAAAAGGCCAACATGAGTCATCAAAAACTTCTGAAAAGCTCTTGTTTCCGTGAAGAACATGATGCAACATCCCTTGGAAAAGAAAAGAATTCATTAAAAAATAATTGTTTTGAAACGTACGTTTAAAAATAATTTCCTGCTTTGTGATCATTTAACGTTTTACATTACATCACAACAGCATGGATTGATTAAATCTCTTTTGATAATTTTTTAAATAAAAAATTGGAGTGGTTTTCGAGGAAAAAAATGTTAAACATTTTTAAATTTCCTGTATTTCGCGCATAATTACACGAAAACTATTCTTTCGTTCGAAAAACTGATCTAACTCTATCTTATTTCAAGATCTATCATTAAAGAAGAGATTTCTATAATGAAGAAATCTGTATCTTCAATATTATAGTTGGAGGAAGACTCCAAAAATTATACTTTTGCAATTTTCGAAAGATCGGTCATTTTAACGATCATGTGACCTGTTCCATTATTTTAAGCGTCCTTTACACTATCCGAGGACAAAGATTAATCAAAAAATTTGGATCTATTTTTCAGAAAATTTTGAAAATGTTTTGAGGCTTCATTTAAATACCCCCAAAAATCAAAATATCTGTTTGAAACTCCGAAAGTCTCGCTGAGGAATATCATTTCGATCAATGAATTCAGATCGATGTGGAATATCAATTTTGGAGAAAATTCACTTAATGGTTTAGGCGCTAGCGTTGACCACAGACGGCCGGACTGAAAGACGGTATGCCGTCAATCAAATTTTCTCTATCAAGGACCACAAAATATTAATTCTGGTTAGACCACGTATTAGATGAAGTATTTTACTATAAAAGTAACCTACTTTATTCACTATCTGTTACTAGGGCCCGACAATAAGGGTTTTACTGCCGAAAATTCGTTGTTTTCCTTATTGATTGCCTTACAATGATTATTATTAAAATACTTTTATTTTGAATTCCTCACCCTCACGAAGGTTTTTCTCGAAGAAAGCCAGAGAAAGTAAAACTTTTGAGTGATACTAACGGTCTAAGACTGTGACTTAACTCTTCCTCACTCTCTTACTCTCTACCCCTTCTCTCTCCGTCTCTCATAAACACATGCAACACAAATGCAAACGTTTTCCATTTCTCTCGTATATATTATCTTAGAAATAATGTTCAAAGAAAACTCACCAAACGTAACACCCAGTTCCCCGTCCAGCAGGTGACTTACCGGTGACGCTTTGAAATCCACCGGAGGAGTTAGAACAGTAGAAACACACTGAATAACGAAATAATTTGAGTTATTAGTGATAGGAAGAAAAAGGGAAATATATTTGGTGAACAAGAGAGTGTACACTAACGACCTTCTAATATTGCAAACTAACGTTGAGAATTTCGTCCACCACACAATCTGCCAGATATTTCCATTTTTTCTGAAGTAATAATATTAAGAAACATTAAGAATTTTCACTGCTCTAATTAGATTTTTAATTGTTGTTATCAAAAATGCATATTTTTTTGCAGTCTGTTTAATTTTCTAATATATTCTTGGTAATATTTCAAAATACTTAAAATACGAGTTATTTGGGTTATATCTAAAAATCATTGTATATTGCTATTTTAGTTCTACTGCTATTAGTATAACAATTATTATCATTGTTATTATTATTGCTACTTTTATTATTATAATTTATTATTATTGTTGTTATTAAAAGAATGTTTCAAAGAAAGTTCCCAGACTCTGAATATTGTCTTCTGTATCAATCGAAATGATGAATTTTCGTATTTCTTCAAATTCATCGAATATCGATTTCTAAAGGGAGGTTAAATTTACCACTAAATTCCATTCCTCAAATTAAAAATTAACTTCTAACGGAAACTAACACAAAATAAACATTCCTACCATTCAAATAAGCTTGCAATGTCCTCGCATCCAAGTAGCGACGACTGTCGATTAGTTCGGAAGAGGCCTTGTCTTGGAACACCGATGACGTCACAGGCGCTGCTGCCTCGTGCGTTATCGGATGAACGAGGCAGTGGGAGGGGAGGGGGAGGAGGGGGTGAAGAAGGGGAGGGAGGGTGGCAGACGGTGCAATAAACGCGCTCGTTCAAGCACGGCACCGTATCTCACCGGTGACACGCCCGACCGCGCTACCGCACCTGCCCGAAAGCACGTAGGGCCGAAATCATAGTGTACGCCGGCTGCAATAGCTCAGCGGTAATCATCGTTGCCTCTGCAGCAGCGATCATTGGTATGACTGACTGATTGATTGATTGATTGATTGATTGATTGGTTAGTGATTCGGATACACCATCTGCTAAGGTAACTATCCCGAATGTGTAGCGGATGTTTTTATCGCGGGAGAAGGCGGTGTTTTCCCTCGCTGGCTGGTGAGATTCGGCGTGGACCTACAGATCAGATACCGAGGTTATTCCGCAAGCAGGTATCTCCCACCAGCTCCCGCTGCCTCAGCTGACCCAAGCTCTAAATCTTGCGATAGGTGTCCCGGAATGAGTGGCAGTGTATTGCGTGTGAGAATGTGTAAGTAAGTGATGAGGATATGACAAGGAAGAGGAAGGATCGCGTACGGTCCATGGTCCGTTTGTTAGGGTACTGCTGCGGCATTTGCCTGGTATTGATCGAAAAAAAAAACACCGTTCTAGTTTGTCACTCATAAGAATTCTTCTCCAGACAGCGGTTGAATTCGCGAAGACTGAAAGATTCCAGCGCTTGATTGCAAAGAATTGCGGATTTTCGAACCTAGCTTCCTAGCTGGGTAGGATTCAGCCTCTGCCTGGAGAATAATTCTAATGGATGGCTGTTCAGAACGGTAGTTTTTGTCTGATCAATTCCAGGAACCAGTATCCTAACAAACGGGCGATGGACCGCACGTGGTCATTTCTTCATTCTTGTTCCTCCTCTACCTGTTCAATCACATACACATACGCATTACACAGTTACACATGTGAGGAGACCAGTTGGGAGCTTAGAGCGTGTCCTAACTGGGGCGGTGCCTCGCTGGGGGAAATATTTTGAGGAGTGAAACTCCTGCCTGTCAGCATTAATGCTCACGATCCAGAATGAAGAGGCGCTGCCAACCCACATTGTTAGTGATTCCGAGCCTGTTAACTGCCGAGATGATTAGTACCGTAAGTGTAGTGCATATTTTTCCTCGGGATGTGGCGGTGGTCTTTTCCCGCTAGATGGCGAGATGCGACGCCGACCTATACTCAGCTAGCAGGACTCAACCCAACTAGGAATCTCCCACCAACGGGGTACTGCCCCAACCGAGAGAAACTCTACGATCCCGGCCGGTCTCCCGACATATACGCTTGTTAATGTAAGCGGTGAGGATAGAACCAAGAAGAGGAATGAAATATTGCGTATGGTCCGTTGTCCATTTGATGGAATACTGCTCCGGCATTCGCCTGGTGTCGGTAGGAGAAACTACCGATTAGAGCAGCTGTCCGCGAGAACTTTCTTCCAGACAGACTGAATTCGACCTAGCTGATAAGCCAGTGCCGAACATCCTATAAACGTTGGGACTCAAACCTAAGACTTCGGTCAGAGCCACCTCACAGGATAAAACATGCATTACACTTATGAGACTAATTCCCTACGTAGTTGACAGGCCCGGAATCATCACGTACTAACACGAAGTGCACACTAAACCCACTATTGCCCACAGCCCTCAGTTGAAGACTAACTTTTCAGGTTAACTTACATCTTTTTTAACACTCAAAAATTTACAAATATTTTATCCGTAACACACATGTAGGTTGTCTCACAATAAATGTTACAATCTTTTGGGGCATGTAAAGGGGTGAACTGTGACAACTCTTTGCCAAGGAACATGTACCGGGAAATCGCGTATCACGAAGATAAAACGTATTCTAATGGGTTATTCTTTGTGAACTCATGATTTTTATTTTAATAAAACGTGGAATAATATTAATGTTTCTATTACTTTTATTTAATCTATTAAAATACCCTACATGTTCGTCCGGGATATACACTAAAGATAAATTTATTTTGTGGGCCGACAGAGCCGTCCGTGACGAAATTTACATAAGGAATACTTAACTTTCATCAAAGCTTGAATTCTGTCTACCGTTATGAAATCAAAGAGATTCGTCTTTTCAAAAACAAAACGTTTATAATTTGGCTTCTCCTCTTGACTTACAAAAAATAATACATATATGTATCACAACTATAGCAAGAACAAAAAATTATCACAAAAATATTTCTCAGTCAGTTTTTCCAATTTATACTATATTTACACACACACACACACACATACTCTTTGTTTTCCCCATACACACATGGCCTTGTTACCTTAGTTTATTAGATTTCGTTAATTACATCAAACGGACAATATTTGTTCTTTCCACAAGTGGGACTTACTGTTTTTTTTTTCACTTTCCTGTTCTTCTGCCCTCTTGTTCGCTGATATTTGATTGTACTCTCCGGTCCTCAGCTGTAGTTTCGAACGCATCATCGATCGCGTTCCATACCAGTTTGTCTCTTTGAATTCGTCGATAAGCAAAACTTTCTACGTTTAACATTTACGTTTGTTGACAATTAATTTACACACTTACATCAGATTACTGTGTTTAACTTCCTCTCGCGAGCACAGTTCGAAAAATTTTTGCCTAGACTCTCACGTGATGACCCATCTCAACGGAACTACGATTCGAGTCTTCTGCCGCGACAGTTTCTTTAAACTCTGCGCTCACTTGTCTTTCCCGATGCACAGTATTAGTCTCAAAATCGTTTCATCTTGAGAATCGCTTTGATCACTTACCTCCTTGATCAATGTCTACCTGTCTCCTGATTGGATCATCGACATCTGGCACAGTTTACTCCTTAGCATCCGTTCTCCCTATAACTTTCTGATTTTAATTATTTTCACGGAAATTCCTCGCGTGTCATGCTTGATTAGTTACTAAAACACTTCACACTGTTTCCCTTGTCCATTTATTATTTGACATATTCCTTAAACTCTTGTTTATGTATTTCATATATACGTATAATTCTAGTGCCCTTTATTGTCGTTAAACAAATTTTAATACCACTTATATTTAGATATT